CATCCTATCTTATATCGTTTCATTGCTATGGTTACAATCCCCTCCATCATCAACCAACCAAAGGGTATACACTACAAGCCTGTCCCCCAGTCGTCAGCACACAGCCCCTCTCCCTCTGTGTCGAGTCCCCAGCTGCTCCATCTCTCCACGTCATCGTCTCTGCCTCCATCTCAGGCATCACTGCTTCTCTGGGTAGGGTCCCGCTCTCCGCTCTTCTCCCTTGATGGTCCCAGGGACCTCGGCTCTTAGGCTGAAAAGTTAATCACTCCCCTCCTTACTAGAAAACATCTACCTTTACATTTCCAACCCTCACAGTCAGTCCTGATAACAATTATATCATAAGAGATCCATCTGCATTTCATCAGCCCCGCCTAGACAGATTGGATACTACTCAGTGGAGATTCTACCTTCCTCCACACCCTCTGGATCTAGGTTTCCTCTTGAAAGCTTGTAAGCCAGTCACTACTTGCCTTTGTAACCCCTCTGCCCCCATTTTGGGTAGCCAATGTCCAAGTTGCCCATCCCTGTCTACTGTGTGTATGGAGGGGGTGGCCATGATACTTTTAATATTCTCCTCCAACACCTTAATTCAAATGCATCCATTCTTCCAAGGTCTTCCTTATTCACCATCCAACTTTCACATTTGTCTTTCACATGAGGCTACTACTGACAAATGCCATGGTTTGGGTCAAGTGCACGTTAGTCCTCAAACTGACGTCTTTGCTCTTGACCACTTTAAAGAGGTCTCGTGCAGCAGATTTGCACAATGCCAATTCCTCATTTGATTTTTTGACTGCAGTGCATGGAGAGGGGAATACCCCAAAATCAATACCTGTTTGTGTGCAGTGGAGAGTGACCCCAAAAATCAATACATGTGTGCAGTATCTGTCCAGCCCTGCCTCCTGGCTCAGCTCTCCAGTCAACACCAGCATCTGCTCAGCACTGTGCTTTGCTGTCTTATGGTTTCAATGACCCAATTTGTGCAGAGGGCTACCTGGGCCCCCAGCACAGGTCATGATGTGCCTGCAGGTCAGGCACCCTGGACCATGGACAGCCACCACTGACTGGTCTGCCCCACGGGCACCATCATGGTGCTCAATGAGGCGCTGGGCAAGATGGCGATGCGGTTCAGAGGCTCCTCCACTTCCACAGGCGCTGCTGTGCACGTGCCTCTGAAGGAAGACCTTCAGGTGGTCTCCACACTGAGGTTCAGGAGGACACATAATGTCTGTAGATGATGCTGGGCAGCGGGGACTTTCCCTAACAAAAAGGGGAAGACTGTGGAACAGACCATCAATTACTGATATGCAAATTCAAACTGAAGCTGAAGAAAATGAAAACAAGTCCACAAGAGCCAAAATAGGACCCACCAGAATTTAGAGATCATCTGAAGAACAGATTTGATACATTAAACACTACAGACCAAAGACCAGAAGAGCTGTGGTATGACATCAGGAACATCATACATGAAGAAAGCAAAGTCATTGAGAAGACAAGAAAAAAGTAAAAGGTCAAAATGGATGTCAGAAGAGACACTGAAACTTGCTCTCCAGTGTAGTGATGCTAAAGCAAATGGAAGAAATGAGGAGGTCCAAGAGCTGAACAGAAAATTTCAAAGATCAGCTCGAGGAGATAAAGCTAAATATTACCACAAAATGTGCAAAGATCTGGAATCAGAATACCAAAAAGGAAGAACACGCTCAGCATTTCTCAAGCTGGGGGAACTGAAGAAAAAAGTCAAGCCTCGACTTTCGTTATTGAAAGATTGTCTGAGCAAATTATTGGATGATGCAGAATGCATCAAGAGAAGATGGAAGTAATACACAGAGTCACTGTACTAAAAAGGAAATGGTTAATGTTCAACCGTTTCAAGGGGCAGCATATGATCAAGAACCAATGATACTGAAGGAGGAAGTCCAAAGTGCATTGAAAGAATTGGCAAAGAACAAGGCACCAGGAATTGATGGAATAAAAATTGAAATCTTTCAAGAAAGTGAGGTGGCACAGGAAGCACTCACTCATCTCTGCCAAGAAATTTGGAAGCAACGATCTGGCCAACTGATTGGAAGAGATCAATATTTGTTGTGCTCATTCCAAAGAGAGGTGACCCAATGGAATGCGGAAATCATCGGACAATCTCTTTGATATCTCAAGCGAGTAAGGTTTTGCTGAAACGGCTACAAGCATACATTGACAGAGAACTTCCAGAGGTTCAAGCCAGATTCAGAAGAGGCCGTGGAACAAGAGATATCATTGCTGATATCCGATGGATTTTGGCTGAAAGCAGAGAATATCAGAAACATGTTTACCTGTGCTTTATTGACTATGCAAAGGTTTTTGATTGTGTGGATCATGACAAGCTATGGACAACATTGCAAAGTATGAGTATTCCAAAACACTTAATTGTGCTCATGAGGAATCTGTATCTGGACCAAGAGGCAGTTGTTCAAACAGAACATGGGAACACTGAATGTTTTAAAATTAAGAAAGGTATGCGACAAGGTTATTCTCTTTCACCATACTTATTCAACCGTATGCTGAGCAAATATGAGAAGCTGGGTTCTATGAAGAAAAACGTGGCATCAGGATTGGAGGAAGATTCATTAACAACCTGTGATATGCAGATGGTACAACCTTGCTTGCTGAAAGTGAAGAGGACTTGAAACATTTACTGATGAAGATCAAAGAACACAGCCTTCAGTATGGATTACATCTCAATATCAAGAAAACAAAAATCCTCACCACTGGACCAATGAACAACATTCCTATCAAAGGAGAAAAGATTGAAGTTGTCAAGGACTTCATTCTTCTTGGATCAACTATCAACACTCACGGAAGCAACAGTCAAGAGATCAAACAAGGTATTGTATTATGCAAATCTGCTGCAGAAGACCTTTTTAAAGTATTGAAAAGCAAAGATGTCAGCTTGAGGATTAAGTTGTGCCTGACACAAGCCATGGTCTTTTTAATCACCTCTTTTGCATGCAAAAGCTGGACAGTGAATAAGGATGGCCGTAGAATTGATGCTTTTGAGTTATGGTGTTGGAGGAGAATATTGAAAGTGCCATGGGCTGCCAAAAGAACCAATAGATCCGTTTTGGAAGTAGAGCAGCCAGAGTGCTCTTTACAGATCAAGATGGCCAAACTTCGTCTCTCATACTTTGGATATATTGTCAGGAGGGATCAGTCTCTGGAGAAGGGTATCATGTTTGGTAAGGTGGAGGGTCAGAGAAAAAAGAGGAAGACTCCCAACGAGATGGATTGGCCAGGTGGCAGCATCGATGGACTCAAGCATGGCAACAGTAGTGAGGTTGGCCCAGGATCGGGCAGTGTCTCGTTCTGCTGTGCATAGGGTTGCTATGAGTCGGTACCAACTCGATGGCACCTAACAACAATACTCAAGGTATTCACCCCAACGTTAACTAGGAATTTCAGCAAGAGCATGTGGTGGGACTCGCAGACCACTGCAAAAGGTGAGCAAATGGAGACCTGTGCCAACCCCCAGCCCCAGGCACCAATGACACTGTAAGAGGCGGGACAAAGTTACAAGACATGAAAATCTTTATTTTCAAAAAGAGAATGCATTTTTACATAAATCTACAACAGGGAATCCAAACGTAGAAAAAATAAACTATATCAGTCCCCGGAGCTCAGCCCGGTGGGCTCCCCACTGCCCCCCACTCCCCAGGACGCTAACACCGGGACAAGCAGGGTAGGACCCCCAACACCTTATGGGAAGCCCAAGAGGAAAGCAATGGACACAAGGGCCTATGGACTTGTGGCGTTTTATGCCGACATAGACTGCCAACACAGGACCCCAGGTTTGTGAGACAAAAACGCTTTTCACCTCAGTTGTTGCCTACAACAGATGACCCAGGTCTGGACAGCTAGAGGGGCAGCTGGAGGCCTTCTGGAACTCACCCTGCCCATAGGTGAGACCCCGGCTTGCGGTCCACCAGCCCTCCAGGTTTCACCCAGTTCCATGGCACCGCCCACACCCACCACCCCTGGAGCCCCAGCTATAAACCTGCACCCCACAAATGGGCAACAGATCAGCCCTCAGCCCCCCGCCATGGTGCTTTAAAGGGGCTGAACCCCAAGTTCACCTCACTCCACACTAGACGGCTGTCGCTCAAGCTCTGCTCAGCAGTCCTACCCGCCTCCCCAAACCTAACCAAGAGAAGCAAGCCTGCCACACGGGAGCCCCAGGCCCAGCCCCAGCCCCAGGCCTCGGCCCTCCCTGCCGGCAATGGTAGCACACCAGGATCCCCAAGTCTGCCAAGACTGGCATCCTAGCCGGTGCTTCTGCCACCGCCTCTGGCACTGCCCCACCACCAGCTACAAGGGCAGCTGAGATCCCCCAGGACCAGGCTGAGTCGGAGGCCCGGGCGCCTGTCTTTAGGGACGAAAAGCCTCTCAGCTTCCTCCTTCTCAGGCCTGGAGAGAAGCTTCGGGGTCCTGGGTGGCGGCAGCACACAGCAAAGAGACTGTGGGGGGAGAGGGCACAGGGGCCTCAGGACACAGCATTTCTCACAAGGAGGAAACTTTACAAAGTCCTGCATTTTCCAGAAAAGACGTCAAAATACATTGGGAACCACTACAAAGCAGGAAGTGATCAACAGGAAGAGCAGGGGGTTAGGGAGGTCTTGGGGGCCAGTTCTGTGGTCGGTGGGGGGGTCCGCCGAGCCCACGCTGGTGCCTGTCACAGCGTCTGCCCTGCGAAGTCGGATATCAAAAAAAGTACAGAACGTTTACTGGGAAAACAACTCATGAGAAACTGAACGTCGCCGTTTTGAAAATAAAGACTGCGTGGCCTCTGTTGGAACACAGTGTGACCAGGACGTTCCCCGGCGTCAGCACGATCGGCAAGGAAAGTCACCGGTGGTCTCTGCTTTCCCCTCGGCGAGGAGGGAGGGGCTGTCCCGTTCCTGAGCGGGAGCCGCGCCTCCACACCCGCGTCTTGCCGACCTTTCCAGAGTCTCGGGCGTTGACCAGAGGGCTCAGCAGTCACTTCTCCAGAGCTTAATTGTCTTGTCGTTTTCTAACGCCGCAGACGCGATGATGTTCTCCGTCGGGTGGCACGCCGTTGAGATCACAACATCTGAAAACAGGAGGGCGGGGAGTCAGGAGCACCCTGGGGTCCCAACCATAACCCTCACAGCCTCTCACTAGCAGTCTCAGTGTCTGCATGCCCAGTAAGCAAGGTAGGCCTGGGTTACCCTCCATCTCAGGGCCTGATGGAGCGCCCCCATGTGGTCATCCTCACCTCTAGGGTGCTGGTGGGCCGGGACAGACAGGTCATGGGGACCTCAATCCCATTATCTTTTCTTTCGGTTTCCCATGAACTTTTAAAAGCCCCCTTGTACAACTGACAGGGTTAGGGCGTATCTGAAGTCTATCACTCTGAGATAGAAAAAAAATGAAAACAAGCAAGCAGAGACAAGGTCTAATGTCCCCAGAGCCAGGAGCCAAGGGCACAACTCGACCTTTGGACCTTGGGTCCCCGTGCTGGAACCTCCCAGACCTTGGGGAACTGGTGACAAGACACCTGGGGGTGTCCAGGAATGTCGGGTCCACTGACGATGAAAGCAAAGAAGGACCCAGTCCAGGGCTCCCAGAGAGAACACGGCGGCCACTGGGGAAGTCAGACACACTCACAGGCAGACACACTCACTCACAGACATGATCACTCACACGTAGACATGCACACTCACAGGCAGACACACACACTCAGACACACACACTCAGACACACACACAAGAATACACACTCAACGTGCAGACACATGATGACATGCTAACTCACAGGCAGACACACGCAGACGCTAACTCATGTGCAGTCCCGGCTTGCTGGGTAGAGGGCCCCAAGTCTGACTGTTCAGCAGTGGACCAGACGCACTATAGGGGGCAAGCCTGGAAGCACCCCACGCTTGAGGCTCACCTGTGTGGCCCTGTAGCTTCTGCACGATCTCCTTAGTCTGAAGGTTCCAGATGTAAACCAGGTTGTCTTCAGAGCCAGACACGATCCACTAGTTAACAAGGAGACAGGAGGTGAGGCAGCGGCCAGGCCCTACCAGTCACTGCCACACGAGGACCCACACACAAGGCTCCTCTTGCTTCCAGATCCTGGTGCACGCACTTTGCTACGAACATCGCCAATCTGATCTTTCGTTATCATCCCCCCAACACCCCCACCTGTCCTGAGACTCTCCAAAGACCCAAGAGGGCCAGGGGGTGGCTGCTCAGGGTGAACCGGCCCAGCAAGAATCCCAGGACACAAAGCCACAGCCAGTGTACCTAGGCTAAGTGTCCCCCCTAGCTGGCCTATGTAGAGGGGATCCACTGAGAAGCATGTCAAAGCATGCAAAGTCAACTTGCAATCCTGGGGCAGGGGTCATCTCAGGAGGTGGAGCCACGTCCGTGGGGACACTCACCTTCCCACCAGTCACTGAAAAGTTGGCGAATATGCAGTATTTCTCGTTCTTGTGGCCGGTGTAGGTCTTCAGGCACTGGAAGGCATGCATGGCCGGGCTCAGAGGCATGTCCTCCCCCCACCTGCGTGCACACAGTCCTAGTCCACACACAGACACATGCACACAGGCGCAGACACGCACAATCAAACACAGACACAAGCACTCCTGCAGACGCATTCATATACACACACTCATGTAAACACATGTGCACACTGACACACTCACCGACACACCTCAGACCAGTCCATCTACAAAAAGCCCAGTTGTGCACCTCAGGGGCTCGGGGACACCTACCCTGTGCCAACTGCCCAGCCGGCAGGGCCCCCCATGACACCAGGCCGACGCCGGGGCAGGCCCGGCTCCCCACACTCACCTTCCCCTTGCTGTAGTCCCAGAGCTTCAGTGTGCTACAGGGCAGAGAGAGGGAGGGGAGATGGTCACCTGCACGTCTCCAGGCTCTGTCCCTGCACCCTGGGAGCACAGTACGTTAAGCATCCAGCTGCTAACTGAGAAGCTGACGGTTCAAACCCACCAGCCACTCCTCAGGAGACAGATGAGGCATCTGTGCTTGCACAGGACGAGCAGCCTGGGACACCCTACAGAGCTCATCTGCTGGCCTACAGGGTGGCGCTGAGTCGGAATCAACATGCTAATGGGGCTGGGGGGTTTCTGGGGTCCCTGCACCCGGGCACTGCCGCCCTCAGCATGGCCACCAGCAGGCACTGGGCGCAAAGCCGTGAGGGTCAGCGAGGTCAGGGAGTGAGGTGGGCTAACACCTGCTACCTCAGCTGCCAAGTCAGCCTTTCTCAAGGAGCAGCTGGGGGTCTGTCCCTAAACCCACAGGAGCCGACCTGGAGCCCACCAGTGTGAGGAGCACAAACCCCCACCTCAGGGCTGAGAACACAGGAGGACAACTGTCCAGAGGAGGCAACAGACACTTCCTCCGCCAGGTCAAAGTTCAGAACTAGGGAGACTCCAGCGGTCACTCACCCAGCCCTCAGCTACCTGAAGGGGTGGCCCTGGGCTTTGTGCTCATCTAAAGCAGCAGCCTGGGGGGGGAGCAGCACTCACTTGTCCAGCGTGGCTGCCAGGATGTACTTGCCATTCGGAGAGAACTTCACAAAGGACACCGGGGGGTTGTCGTCATCTGCAGGGACAGAGGCACACTGACCCGGGTCCGCACTCAGGTGCTCCTCCTCCACCCAGCACCGTGGTGACCCCACAACCTCCCGCTGACCAGACCCGGGGTCCGCACGCAGGTGCCCCTCCTCTACCCAGCACCATGGTGACCCCACAACCTCCCGCT